TCATGTAATGAAATAAAATAATTTCTTGTTACTTGTCTAACTTCAGGTCTGCTTCTTCTGCTCTCTTTTTTTATTTATGTTTCTTCCTGCTATGCTTCTCATGGGATCAGAGTCATCTTGCTCAACTGCCAGAACGAAATCCAACGCCTGTACATCTGCATATCAATGACAACAACTTCTCCATAAGATAAAAGAAATCAGCATATCAAATCCTCTTAAATTCTTAGTGTCTCACATCAAGACAAGAAAACTACATGGTATGGAAGGTATAAATATCTAAACCGCTCTCAGCTAATGGATACGAGTCTTAGACACCACCTCCCCAATTCCATCAAAATTCATTCAAAATCCATTCAAGATGAACATGGGACCATTGTTGAAAACCAAGAATATCTGTTATGATAACTACCAGATAGAAACCTAGCAGCAACGATTTTCTCCATTATTTCTCCATCTATTTTACCCCACATTTTTCATCTCAACCACTGAGTCTACCAACATATCTCGAGTCATCCGCCTGAAAAATGAAATCCACAATATCAATATGGGATCCAAGTCCATAACCCAATACCTTAACCTTATCAAGAATCTAGTGGACAATATTGCGGCTACATGTTATAAAATAGAAAATGAAGACATAATTATGTACACTTTGAATTGCCTTCCACCGAGTTGTCAAGGTTTTAAAACAACCATTATAACCAAACTAAATCCCCTCACATTGGAGGAGTTTTACTCCTTGCTACATAGTGAGGAATGCAACCATCTTCAAGAAAATAATAAAATCACTCGACGATCAGCCCTAGTAGCATATAAAAGCAAAGAAGGATATCAAACCACCATAACATTTTTCAAGAACTCTACACCAAACCGAATTTTCATCAACAACAACCACAGTATTACAAGCAATATGCTCAAAACGAGAATCAACACCATATGTCAAATATGCAACAAAAAGGGTCACTCAGCTCAGCCCTGTTGGCACAAGACAAACCTTAAGTATATGGCAACAACTCCAACACAATCTCTCAACAGTCAAATTCAAACCCGCAACCAAGAATGGATCTTGGATACATGAGCTACTGTACACATCACGCGACATACAGAAATGTGCAACAACCAGCTACCTACGTAGGAACAAAACAGGTAGTCGTAGGTAATAGCCAACGCACTGTTATTTCACATGTCGGCAATGGTATACTCCCCACACCAGACAATAAGCTAATTTTTTCCCCTTTGTTTCAAACACCTCAAATATCACATAACCTAGTTTTGATTCACAAACTCGCACGTGATAATAATTTTCAAGTTATATTCCATGCTAATAAATTTTATATTGAAGATCTAGCAACTAAGAAGTTACTTATTTCTGGGAAAGTTGATCAAGGGTCATAACCTCTCATAGCTCTTCACAGCATGAAAAGTATATGCTTATGGCACCAACGATTGGGACATCCCAACAAAAGATTGCTTAACAACATTGCTCACCACACTCAGCCCCCAACTCAATATCTCTAGTTCTTTCAAACCACGTACTAATTGTGTTAAAAATAAAAGCCATAAACTTTCTTTTTCTCACAACAATACTACTTATAATCTCTTAGAAATGCTTCATTCAAATATTTGAGGACCATTCCCCCATACCGAGATTGGAGGCTATAAATATTACATAACCTCCATTGATGTTTTCTAGCTTTTGTTGGTGCTTCCCTCTACAACATAAATCTGAAACCACCAAACAATTTATCTATCAACATAAAATGCTTAAAACTATTTTCCAAGATAATATCAAAATTTTAAGAATAGATGGAGGAGGAGAATACACTTCATATGCTTTAACAACCTAATTAAACAAAAATGACATTCAAAAGAAAAATAGTTGTGCATATACTCCATACTGAAAGAAAAAATAGACGTATTGTAGAGATAGCACGCACCTTACTTAATGTTGCTAACCTTCTCATTTATTTTTTGACGGATGCCATCCAAACAACAAACTATCTTATCTATAGACTCTCATCTATCATTATCAATAATTTATCTCCCTTCCAACTTCTCTATAACACTCTACTTGAATATCATCACCTTCGTACCTTTGGGTGGATATATTATCCATGGCAATCACAGAATGTTATTAACAAATTTCTCTTACAAAGCCTCTTCTTGTATATTTTTGGGTTATAGGCCTCACCATAGGCTAATAAGATCTTTATTTCACGTCATGTTGTTTTTGATGTAGAAACTTTTCCTTATAGTCACCTCAAATACCCATCCAACCTCCTCTTACAGTAAACCCAATTATACACTCCCATCCCTTCTTATCCCTACATCCACACTTTCCAACACATCACGAGCACCCAATGTCATTAAACCAATCTTTCCACCAACCTCCCCAACCTTACTTCCTTCCTCTCCAACCCACAACCTTCCTAGAAACAACTCTACCCATTCACTTCATATGTCTCTCTCTAAGGAACAACCAACCTTACCTGCTCTCTTGTTACCCAACCTCAAACAACATCACATGGTCACGAACGACCAAACTAGTAGCATAAGACCTAAACAAATTATAGACCTTCAACATATTATTCAAAATAACAACACTCCCACCTCTTACACTCAAGATGTAATAATTTCACATTAGAGAAATGCCATGTTTGAGGAATTCATGGCCTTGCAACAACAAGGTACTTGGGATCCTGTGCCATCTACCACCACTCAAAACATTTTAGGATGCAAGTGAACCTATAGAATTAAATATCATGTTGATGGTCTATAGCCTGCTATAAGGCCCGCCTTGTTGTCCAAGGTTTCAAACAACAACACGACATAGACTACACTGAAACCTTCATTCTGGTTGCCAAATTTCCCACAATTTATCTTCTCATTACTCTTTCCACCACGAAATAATGTGGAATCCAGCAATTAGAAGTTTTCAATGCCTTTCTATATGGGAAACTTAATGAAACTGTTGATGTGACTCAACCACTAGGCTTCACTGATTCCACCTATTCCCATTACATTTGTAAACTACAAAAAATTTATTTATGAACTTAAACATGCTCCACGTCAGTGATACTCCACATTTTATAACTTTCTCTACACCCAACAATTTACTCTCAACACGGTCGATCCATCTCTATTAATTTATAACCATAATCATATCCATATTTACTTACTAATTTATGTTGATGATATTTTAATAACGTGAAATTCATCTCATGCTATACCAAATAAATTCATAACCTTAGCATGAACTTTAATCTAAAACAACTTGAACTTATCTCTCATTTTCTAGGTCTGCATATGCAACAAACCTCAAATGGATAATTTTTCAATCAAACAATATATCTCAATGATCTCCTTCATATCGCTGGCATGGTCGATGCCAAACCAGTTTCCACACCTCTTCCAGCAAAAACTCCCCCCTCAAACGACTCTCCTATTCCTCTGTCTGATCCAAATCGTTATAGAAAGATCATTGGATCACTTCAATATCTTACCATTACGAGCCCTAATATTATGTTTGTTGTAAACCGTCTTAGTCAATATATGCATCAACCATCTACATATCATTATCAACAATTAAAATGATTGCTCATATATTTAAAAGACACAATTACTTATGGATTACCTATTACCATTGGACCATTGCTTTTAAGTTCACATGCAGATGCTGATTGGGTTGCATAATCCAATGACAAAAAATCTATCTTTGGAGTATGCATCTATCTAGGCCCCAATCCCATATCGTGCTCAACGAAGAAACAACCAACAACTGCAAGATCTTCAACCCGAGTTGAATACAAAATCATAGATTCAACTACCACTGAAATCATTTGGCTAAGGAGGTTGCTGCATGAACTCACAAATCAAACAACCTCTCCTCCCATCCTACATAGAGACAACATCTGCAATTACTCTCGCACACAAACCTTTTCTTATTCCCTTCCTTCTGCATCTATTAATGTCTCTGATAGAAACAACAAACCACCCGTAGCAACCTTCTCAATGAGTCTGCATAATTAGCAAAGATGTTAGCTTCAGTGAGATTGTCATACTTTCTTTCTTGTTTTCAAATGTCTCTAAGATAGCTATGGATGTTATTAGCTAATGATTTAAGGTATAAGAGAACATTCACACCTCTGATTGAACCTACAAACTATCGCCTTTTGCGGCTCTCAAAAGCAAAGCAAATAGGTGGGATTTTGTGATATTTTTTATCTTCATTGCTTTGCTCTCCTAATACTTCAAAGATAGCTTCAATTCTCAGTATTGTTTGATTGCAAAAAAAATTGTGTTGTATGTCTCTGTTGATTGAGACTATCGATGACAATTCAGGTTTAAGCTCTTACTCAGTATTAAATTGCTCTTAACTTAGTTCTTTTTACTAATATGGTATAACTTGTCATTTTAATAATTTGAGATTTGGGTGATATGGGTGGTGTGGGTGGAGGAAAAAATATATTGAAATGGGAAAAAAGAATGATTCTATCTAATCTGGCTCATAACTTAAAAGATGTAATTGGAGACTCATGAAAATTTTATGTATTAGATTACATTCACTAATCATATCAATAAGATGATTCAATATTCACCCATTAGTGCCCATATCAAAAGTAAGCCATTCAATCAGCCTAACAAGCACACCAAAACAAAATATTAATTGCTTATCATAATTCAAAAATAAAAAAAATAATGAGAAAAAAATGAATAGCAAAATATAATATATCAGAGAGCAACTAAGTGCCAATTATAAATTTGCAAATCTAAAAAAAAAAATTAAAATTTTTTTCCAGTAAAATAATTTCAAGAATTTTTCTTTCTTTGATATTTTGATCATAAATATTATGATTTTTCCTCTTGGGCCAACTGAAATTCGATTTACTGTAAAACATGCAGAACAGACTGAAACAATTATTCAGAAAGAAGGTATTACAGTATAAATGGATTCCAACCCAATCGAAGCCGCAATGAAAACACCAAACAGAACGAATCCCTCATCCTAACCAGCCGGCGGCTTTCGCCGTCGATCGCCGGAAACCAGTAAAGGTCTTCCCAAATATTCCCTTCCTCTCCTCCCTCCGTCCCTTCCCCTCCTCCACATTCCTCGTCCCCTGTTCCTGATAGCTGCAGAAATTTCTCATAACAGCTAGATCATCAGCACGTACACTGCCACCGCGAGGCACTCCGCCTCCCTTCTCCTCCCTCTTCCCCGCCGTTACGCTCCCCGCCCTCCTCATCTCCGTCGGCGGCGGAGCCATTTTCGACGGCTCGAAGCGTTTGTTCACCAAAGGAGACGCCTTTCTGTTCTCCTTCCTGAATTCGACGGCTTGCTCTCCACTCGAGCTTCCGGCGGCGGATTGTTTCGCTTGTACGGGGATTGGAGTTGCAGGGTTCAGGCCGGCCTTTTTCATCCGGAGCTTCCATTCTCTGAGCTCGGAGTAGGTGGAGTACATTGGACCTCGGAGGAAGGGGGGCGGTTCTGCCATGAGAGGAGTTCAGCGCTCTGTTCCCTCTCTTATTCAAATTTGGTTCTTTTAAGGGAAGACGATGCAGAAAAAGTTGCAGCCGGAGGCCGGCGAGTGAGAACGACGGCTGAGATAGTTTATTTGAATAAATTGGGAAATTGAACTGTTCCCGTCGGCAATCTATGGCCGGGAGAAGCCAGCAGCAGCATTTGTCAGGGCTTTAACCTGCCGGCATCTATAAGAAAATGGTAATAAAATTGCACACGTAGGGCCAAGTTTGGGTGGATGTGGCATATTTAAATGTATATTGAGGTAATTGTAAAAAAGATTATATTGTTTAAGATATGGAAATTATAAGCTCTTTGGTGTTACTGGAATGTTGGAATGGTTGACCTTGGATGAGAGTTGAATAGAGATCTTTTTTTTTTGGGCCTTCCTTCTCATATAAATGGAGAGTCAATTGTGAATAAAAGGAGGATTTTTTTGGGGCTTGTTCCCTCTCCCCCTCTCTGGGTCAACACAAATCTAATGATTTATTTAGCTAATAAAATGTTTCATCCTCAATATATCAACTAGGCTACATAGGTTAAAAGGGGGTTGATTCTAAGGTTCATGATTCAATATAGACCCAAGGGTTTAATCATTGTTGGTTTGAGTTGTAATTCCCAACCATAAGAGCGAGATCAGTTTGGAATAATCTCAACATATCACAAGATAGCATCTGACTTGAATAACATAGAAATTAGATTCTAAGGGTTGGAAAGGGAACGAAGTGAATGATATTTTACATCATACAAAAAACATTAATAATGAAACATCTAATTGATCATTTGTGTTAAAACAAGATAGCATCTGACTTGAATAACATAGAAATTAGGTTCTAAGGGTTGGAAAGGAAAAGAAGTGGATGATATTTTACATCATACAAAAAGCATTAATAATGAAACATATAATTGATCATTTGTGTTAAGAAAATCTCAATAAATTGGTCTTCCACCTTATTTGGTTAAGTAATATAATTAACCTCTTTAGCCATATTTTAAATGTGATGTTATCAAGTTTATATGATATAGGTGAGAGATATATATCTTAAGATTGATATGCTTATATAAATATCTTAAGTATATGCAAACTCACATGGCCTTGATATTGGATGAATCAGCAAGGCTATTTTCGGTAATTCATTCATCTAAGTTTAGAATGAAAAGATAAATGTTCAAGCATTTCTATTATATAAGTATAACTAAGGCATGTTTATTTAGAACACTTAACCAAGAGATTTTCCATGAAGATGTTCATTGAAGGCTAATTAAAATAACACATTGGAAAGGCCGATTGAGTTCCCATGACAAGTCACATAAGAGAAGTTTCTCAATATGGGTGTACACCACAAGTTGAGAAGATTACAAAAGTTGTGTGAAGCACCCATAATAAAGTGATGACAAACCTTTGAAAGCTGTAAAGTACATAAAATAATTTGTTAAGGGTATATGTCTCTTGCTCAACCTCTAGTAAAGATCAAAAAGGCCTGAAGTTCAATCTGAGGTAGAAGACCACATTGAGGCCAAAGAGATTCAAAAACATTATGTTAAAGGAAAATAGGGAGAGGCCTTCAATGGTGGAAGAGTTTTTCACTACATGATTGACTACACACCATTAGAAGACTTTACTCTATCATATAAATTTCAAAAGCTAATGTAGGAAGAAAAAAAAAAAATCAAGCTTGAGCAAGATCAAGTTTGGCTGGTGTTCGACAAGTTCAAAATTAATTATGTTCGAAATTGACTCATGTTTGAATTTGTTCGTGAATGATGTGTTTGTGTTTGACTCAATTTATATGTTCTTGTTCGAATCAAATTTTTTTTGCTTAAATTAGTTTAGAAAAATATATCCAAAACGTTTAATACAAATCTGCATTATTTCTATGTAATAAAAAACACATGATCACAAGACCACACGAGCTATAGTGATTTAAGCTTATATATAAATATATATAATAATTTCTTATAAAAATTATATATATATATAATAATAATAATAATAAGAATAAACAA